GGGCATTATATCATCTTTTAGGACAATATAATATGATGGCTTGAACGAGCAAAATAATAGAATAATAATAAATACTCCAAAATCAATTAATTTAAACAATTTGGCAAAAAAGAAAATTATTATGATAATAATAATAATAATAATAATAATAATAATAATAATAATAATAATAATAATAATGATGATAATAATAATAATAATAATAATAATAATAATAATAATAATAATAAATAATATTTTTCAATAATTCATAATCAAACGGGGCGTTACAGTCTACCCATCTTACAAGGAATTCTGTCCTCGGAATTCGAAAACACAACAACTAGAAGGTAAAGAGAGTACAAAAAGGGGACATCAAATGTGAGGTTCGGGTACTCCCTCCGATTCTCGATCTCCCTTTGCCAAGTCGTCTCGCCCTCGACTTGACTACAACCACTGGATATTGACGAGTACCCCTCCCAGTCTTTCCCTAATGGACCTTCGGTCCCAACAGGTCACCGGTACTTCCATACATGTAGGGTTCTGCCTATCACGCAACTCGTCACAATCCACACATATCTCGAGATCACGCACACGTTCTCTCCATTACGAGGCTAGAACGTGTCATGCATCCTCGCAAGTCCCGGTGGTGGAGTCAATCATCGGGCTAAGTTATCGACTTGGTCGACAAACCATAATAGGACGGACAATCATCACTTATGCTCAAATCTGGTACATTTAGAACACACGGTTCTGTTTGATACCACTGACAAAGCCTCTCTCCTCCCCGACACGGACAACATCTCGTATGCAGTTTAGGAAGTATAGGCTAGATACTCAATAACGATTTTCTCCTGCGGAGTCGGTCTCCAGTCGAGACTCAAGGCTCCGCCCCCACATTACTACGGAAACTACAATTTCGCCATCTCAAGAAAATTTCGCATGTGGCATGAGAAACTAATCGACAAACCTCATACACTGGGGATTGTTGATTAGGGCATTCACACAACGACTCGAAATATCAACATACACTTTGACCAAAAATCTGGTTCAAGGACCCCTAAAAGGACAAGGTCGAACTGGGTTTAATACACTGTCACCCGAGAGATGACACACATGCTGGCGCTGCATATGCGGGGCGCTGGGACGCGTGCATGTACTCACTCGGATACCAGCTACAAGGTCAAAGTTTGGCCGTACACACTGACCTGGGAAGTTTGGCATTCGGTGATGGCGGCAGCAACTTTCGTGGGAGTCAACAGTCGGCCACTGCAGTTGGCCTCTCATCTCTCAGCACGGGCGTGCGGGCTCGGCCACCACTTCGCGTGGCTACACCCAGTCAGGTTCGGCACTCGGTTCGAGGTGCATTCCAGAAATTTTAATTTATGGGTTGCACAATTCCTAAGTACTCAATTAGGACAACGGGTTGACAACAAAATTTTTCCTCAAAAGGGATCAAACATTGGCATCACTGCCAAGAATAATCCTAACTCGGCGGCCAACGCCGATCAGCAGAATGGTTAGCTCGCTTGACTCTTTCGA